TTAAAGTTAGAGGCTGGAGAGTTGGCTCAATTGTTAAAAAACACTGGCTGCTCTTGCAGAGGACCTGGGTTCTAGTCTCAGCACCCACATGGCAGCTAACAACCTTCTGTAACTCCAGTTCCAGGGGATCTGACTCCCTCTCATGACCTCTTTGAGTACTGCACAATATGGGTCCACTTACACACATGCAGGCAATAAACTCATACACATAAAATAATAAATAAAATATAGTTTTAAAGAATTTTTAGAATTAGATATCAAGTTCTGTCTATGACTTCCATTTTTCAGGGCCAACCCTCCTATTATAAGTAACTGGAAAAGGTAGATAATATATATTCCTGAAAGATCTGTTTGAAATCATCAGAGAATGGCCAAAGCTATAAGGAACTGTAGTGTCTCAAGGTGGTAGAGTCCAGCATTGGGGATTTTTTTTTCCTCTGGAGCAGCTATAAGCTTCAAAATTCTGTAGCTGCACTTGGGGATGTAGGTCAGTGATAGTGCATGCCTTTAGCATATGTGAAACCATGGTTAAATCCCTATTGATCCTCTCCTCTAGATAAGCATGGGTCTTCAGGCATTGGTCTCTGTTGGGAGAGTAGGGAACAAACTGATTAAAAATTATACTTTATTTTCTTTTTAGGAAGAAGGGTCCTGATAAATTTCATGCAATTTGGGTTGGCATCCTAACCTTTGGAGTGTTAGCAGTGATTCAGAAATAGAATCACCCTCTCAAGTACCCAAGCCCATTTATAAACCATCTCAAGTCTTGCTTGGGTAAAGGTCACCTGGGACTGCAGTGTCCCTTGGCCCTGTTGTCCAGCAGGAACAAAATGATCCACCTCAGAATGAAGAAAGAGTTATCCTCGGCCTTGAATAAAATAGTTTTGAAAATATACAATGTCCCTAAGTAAATAAAAAATGTAGCCAGATATGTTATATTAGTCAGCTTTGTGTTCATGTAATAAGATAACTGAGATAATTAGCTTATACAGAGAAGGGAATTAGCTGTCCAAGGTTTTGGAGCCTCCAGTCCAAGATTGAATGGACTCATTGTCTTGGGCCTCAGTGGGGTATCAGCTTCAACACTGGGGAATTCTCCCTTCATCAGCCAGGAAGATCAATACACAAGGGACCCCAAATTCCCTTCAAGAGCATGCCTCTAATGACCTAAGGATCACTCACCTCTACCAGTCCCACCAAATGCCAATAGCACCACCCTGGGGACAAGCCTCTACCACACGGACCTTTGGAGGAACATGTATTCAAACCATAATATATGTGCAAGACAGCCTGTGCATTAAAGAAAAACAGACATTAGGAAGAGATCTGGCAAAGATTCAAATAACGGAAAATTAGCAGAGGTAGCCTTTAGACGGCCCATGCGGGGCTTGGGAAATGGCTCAGTTGGTGAAGTGATTGCCAGACAAATGTGAGCATCTGAGTGCAGATCTCCAGCACCCATGTAAGTAAGACACTGGCTATCACATCATGAGCCTGTAATCCAAGCAGTGGGCAGGTGGAGACAGGAGGCTCCCTAGACCTCACTGGCCAGTCCGTCTAGCTGAATGGATGAGCTCCAGGTTCAGTGAAAGACTCTGCCTCAAAAAAATAAGGTAGAGAGTGATTGAGGAAGACACGCAACATCAGCCTCGGGCCTCTGCACAAACATTCATACAGCACCCCCTAAACACATATACACAAACATACAAATATACACATGCATAAACAAATAGGTCCATGTATTTATAATATACCTAAAAATTTGGAAGTATAATATACATAAAGATTTAGAAGATGAGATTGAAATTTTTGAAAGAAAACTACAAACTATACAAAAAAGGAACCAAATGGAAATCCTAGAACTGAAAGTTATAATCAACTGAAATTGAGAAATAACTAACAGTTATTAGACACTTCCCATGTGGCCAGTACTGGACTTAGTATATTATAATCATCAACAAAAGACATTTTTGTGAAGTTGGTTCCTCCCTGTACCCTTTGCAAAGGAATCTTAAGCCCTGCTTGTCCACGTGTGAGCAGCTTGATACCTGCTGTATCCTCACATCTGACTTATTACATCTCCCAATATGTGTAGATTGGATTTTCTATCTCCCTGTCTCAACAGAGCCTTTTAAAGCAGGTCCTGACCATTTTTGTTATCATTAGTGTCTAGGAACACTAGTACATCAAAGGCACTAGAGCATACTTGGGATGTCCAAATCTCAGAGGGAAGTCACCAGGTGCTGTCTGGGAGTCTGCTGTGTGCTGTGGTCGTTAAGCTTTGTTCAGAAAGCAGAGTTGGAACCCAATCTCCAGAACCGAAAACAAGGGTGGTCAGAGACGTTCTGTGGGCAGAATTCCCAAGAACACCAACAGTTTACAAGACAAACAAAGACTGGAGTTATAGTCAGAAGGTGAGGAAAGAGAGAGAACTTCCCCCTTCCTCTTCTTTCTCCCCTCCTTTGGAGTAGAAGAAGGTGTGGGATTAGCACAGGAAAACCAGGAGGTTCAGGATTCAGGGACTGGAGCATGGTTTAGTACATGGAGGAGGAGGATGGGTTTGTGTGCAGAATAGAGAAGCTGGATGTATGGGACAGGGTTGCAGGGGTTATGGCACTGTGACTCATCTGTCCCACTTTACCTGGGGCAAAGAAGCATGTGCAATCACTGCTGTTTGAGTAATTCCCACATGTCAGGGCCAGAGCTAAGTGGAGGTCAATTTAATAGCAACCCACGATGTGGCTTCTGTTATTAGCCCTGTTTAACGGATAATGAAACTGAGAGCTAGACAGTCTCAGCACGTTTATCTGGAGTAACCCAGCTCAGAAGTTATGTGGGAGGACTGAGACTAAAGATCAGCTTAAGTCTCCTTCCCTGAATATCCTGGAAGCCTTTGGAAGGGTGATCATGGGGAAAGGCACGTGCCAGGGAAGTCTGGGAGACCAGTGTTCCTTCGTTTTGAATTTGGGTTGAGGTCAGATAAACATTTACTCGGGAGGCACAATGTGGGTAGGAGTTTGCTTGGACCAGTGTCTAAGGCAAAGGCCAGTATGAGTCTCCTCCATCCACACTGGGAACTCACGTCTCTTCCTCAGTCTTTAAGCAGGTTTTTCTGGAGAATACTGATTTAAAATTCTAGGACAGCTTCAGAAGTGCCCTAAGATAAGCTGGAGAGAGTCTGTGATGGTGGGGTGTCAGCTGCTTCCCCTTTCAGCAGGTGTGAAGACAGCAGTCTGTACCTGGTGACTAATAAAACCTCCAGAAACTTCAAACCTTAATTCCACAGTTACTGGAAGCAGCAAATAACCAGGCAAGTTTGTACACATCCGTGCACATCCCTCCTTCAGCCAGCTTCATGAAAGCGATTCAAAAGGAACAAAGGCATGAGCGAACAGAACGGCCCCTTGGCCCTCACTGATAGATATTATTTCTCTACAAGGATCTGAACAGAATGTGTACTTGTCATTTTGTGTCTCAAAACAATTGTCCAGTCTTACAACAGCAGAAATATTCCATTTGCCCTAAAAAGAAGAGCTTTTTAAAGACTTGAGGTGTGTTTCATAGCTTCCGCTGTTAAAAGATTTACCTCTCATTTGGGCACACTCTGGATTTGGGGTTGAAAATAAAGTCAAACTTGTCAAAAGTCAAACTTGTTGTGGTAGGATGGCTTAGTGGAGTGGGTAACAAGAACTGGATTCATGGTTGTATGATTGTCACTAACAAGCTCTGTGACCGAGACCAGGTTCTTTCCCCTTACTGGGGCTTTCTGGGCCTCTTTTAAATAACAATAGGTTGGGATAAAATGACCACTATGCTCCAATCCAGTTCTGAAAACACCATACCTGGCCTCCTGCCCTAGCACGTCCCATCAAGTGGATGACATAAAAACTCTATTTACCTTTGTATAACTACAAAATAGGAATATCCTTGCTGTCTAGAATATTGTATGAAAGTAAGTTAGTGTTTATTATGTCTACCTTGATCCAACACTTAACTAACTTCCTTCCTTCCTTCTTTCCTTCCTTCCTTCCTTCCTTCCTCCCTCCCTCCCTCCCTCCCTCCCTCCTTCCCTTCCTCCCTTCCTCCCTCCCTTCCTCCCTTCCCTCCTTCCTTCCTTCTGAGAATGAGGAGGCAGAAACCAAAATGAATGAAATATCCTGTTCAAAATCACGTGGATGGCACTGGATGTGGCAGAGGAGTCTGGACCTGTTCCTGAGCAAGTGCTTCATTCACTCCACTTCCCAGACAGTGGCTTGGAAAGAGAGTTATTGTTTATTAAAGCACCTCTGAAAGACGCTGGCTTCAAAGATCTGAGAGAGAGGAAGACAGCTGGTTTTAAAGCGCACTCTTGGGAGTGATTTCTTTCTAGATCAGGGGTCAGCAAACTTCTAGGCTAACTATGACCTGTCCTGTGTTTTGTAAATAAGGTTGTGTTGGAGCATAGTTGGGCTTTCTGGCTTATGGATTGTCTACGGGTGATTTTGCATCATGACAGCTGAGCTGAGTAATTGTGTCACAGCCTGGAAAACCCACAAAATACCAAATATTTACTATCCAGTTCTGGACAGAATGTTTGTCAGTCCTTTGTCCTGAGTCCAACAGACTATCCCTCCTCCAAAGAACACAGTGAGGTGAGACTATCCTTTGTGCCAGGAGCCCTATCACTTTGTTTCATGATGAAAGGGGGACATTTCTGTTCAGATCTGTTTTGTAAAAAAAAAAAAAAATGTTAACAGACTCACAGTACCTGTCAGGCAAATAAGGGAGAGATTGCTTTTTATTGTGCTATTCTTCCCAGGAACACCATGAAGGGGAAATAGAAATCTCAATTTTGGGGAAATTACACAGCGTAAGGGGGGCAGGGGATCGGTTACAACATACCATTGCGACACTCAGCAGGGTTGAAAGTGACAACAGCAAGGGTTTCTCTTTTTGGAAATATGAAGGTATTTCCGCTTCTGAGAGTGGGACTCAGTGACAGCAGCACAGCCGGGTGAATGACTACTTTCTTTATAAGCAGCCGCTCTGAGCCTGAAATGGCAGTCTCCACTGCCTTGCTGTGGCTTCAAGATGGAAATCTGCAGGACACCCTACAGTCACCTAATCTCTCTCCTTGTCTTCTTTCTGTTCCATTCAGAGGCAGCCTGCACCCCTTCTAGGAGAAGACTCTGCAAGATGCAAGCCTTCAGGTAAGGCTCTCTGAGGGTATGAGGGTGGATGGGCCACGGAGCAGAGACACATCTCAGGCTGCTGCTGGTTCTGCAGGGTCTGGGAATTCGGATTGGGATGTGAAGGAATATCCTTGATTCAAGAACAGCTTGCCATATGTGCTGTCTTCAGGGCTTGTATTTTCAGATATCCTGGGTATGGACAGCAGATCGGTCAGCTGGGCTTACATTTCCAGACATTCAAAAGCCCAGTGAGTAGTGCACAAGAATCTAGAAGTGATGCAGGCTTTTGGGTCTAGCAGAGTGAGATGTAGTAGCAGGACATGACCCAAAGGCTCAGATCAACAGCCTACAGCCTGTATCTGTCTCGACTTGTTGGAAGATCTCACTCTTCTGGAGCCTCAGTTTCCTCATCTGTAACCAGGGTTTAATGATAATTCCTTGCATGCCTTACAGGGTTGTTGTGAAGATTAAATACATGAATGGTACTGTAAACATGTTCTGAAAACTGTAAAGTGGTTTAAAAAATGACTGTATGTTTTAAAATTGAGTTAGGGGCCTTGGGACACGTCATCAGCTCTGTAGTAAAAATGGCAGACTCTTATGTTGATAAAAAGTAAGTAGATTGCTGGTGCACGCTGTTTATCCTTGATTTTCCCTGGGAGTGAAGTCTGTGTTAGGCTACTTCCCCTTGACCCTGTCTGCTTTTTGCCTAAGGCTGTGGACTGGGACTCTGAGTGTAAGTCTGTGTATGTATCCCAAGACCACAGACCCAGAAACTGTCTGCTTTGTGAGGTTTTCCTCTGCATCCTCTTATCAGCCCCAGTAGAGGACCTAGCAGGGCTATTGAATCCCTTCAGTCTGAGATTCATCTAGGAGCAGAGACCAATCTCAAAAAGTCAAATGCTCCCTCACACATGCAAAGTCCTTGGTTTGTCTATCATTCTGAGTTAATGAGCTTCTCCAAGCTACCTGATAAGGCAGGTTCTGTCAGCACACCTGGAAGGTGAGGAGATGAGGCACAGATCCAAAGTCATGGATCTTATCACCACAGTCTTATCACCACATCTTGCAGCTCCCTACACCTCTCAGCCAAAGGGCCCCTTCACCAGGAAGGCTGGGAGTGACAAACTGACCACTGGGTGAGCTAGAGAGGAAGCTAACTTGTGTCCAGGGGCAGCTGCCCCTGCCAGACCCAGAGCAGGTGATTGGTAGATGAAATAAAAGTTCTTATCGACAGACTTTCCCTCTCTAAGACTCAGAGTAGATCAGCTGCAAGACGTTCTGAGCTTGAACTGCTAACACTGTGCTGCGGTGGCCACTAGTCTCAGGTGGCTACCTGAATTTACACTTAAATGCATGAAAATAAAAGAAAATTGGAAAAAAATTGAATTCTTCATCATGTCACCCACAATTCAAGACCTCAACAGTCACATGTACCTGGTGGCTACCCTATTGAGCAAGGTGGATGTAGAACATTATTTCATCACATGAGGCTCTGTGTGATGGTGATGCTGAAGTCGGAGGGGCTATGCTGGGAGTCTGGGATGGGGGGGCATGTCATAACTAGTACTGGCTTTAGTCTTTTTGTCTGTATTATGGGATGCTAAATACCACACCTCTGGCAGATCTGGATATAAACTGGGTGACTGAGGAATTCAGAAAGGTGCTGTACTGTCTACTATGGTTAGGTCTTCTTGTTTTTCAGAATCTGGGATATAAACCAGAAGACCTTCTACCTGAGGAACAACCAACTAATTGCTGGATACTTGCAAGGACCAAATACTAAATTAGAAGGTAAGTGGATGACGAAAAGGCCCATGTGTGGGCATGAGGTCACGTTGCCCCTGGAGTATGTGCATCATGCTTCACCCCTCCAGCAGTAGGTGATGTCCTAATCTCAGCTGAGTTTGAAACTAGAGACATGACCCCTAGAGGGCATCGATGGGGGAGGCCTCAAAAGGGTAGGGAGAGGTAGAGTCTGGGTAAAGAGCCACCGCCTACACAATGGCCCAGGGACACAGCTAGGAGGAACAGGGGCTGGTAGGCAAGACTGACCCTTCCCTTCCTTCTGTGGTAATAGGCCATCCATGTCTCTGTGTCATATTCTAGCCTTGCCTAGAGTTTGTGCACCGCTGGATGGTGTCTCATAGTACGGATACTGTGGACATCACCCTCATCATGTACTAGTTCACACTCCAGGCAAGCTAGATGAACTTAGAGGCAGTTCACCCACTATTCTTCAGTGTTCTTTTTATAAGATGAAGGCAGTTAGTTGGCAGAATTTGAGTTTCTTTTAACACTTGTGTTTGAAGTTCCCACATCCCCGTTTGAGTGTAGAGAGGTATTATCTCCATCTCTCCACCTTTCCTGAAGCCCTTTCTCTATCTCTCCTGACTTAGCAAATATGAGACTTGCCTTTCCTGTATTTCTAGTAATTCCCCTAGGAAACTCGCTCAAGCATAGGGAGGCTGAGATATTTATTGCTACATAGGGAAGAACAGGTGGAAAAAGTGGATTATAAATTCACAAGTTTTCTGACGTACCACCCATGACTTTGTGGGCTGCTTCCTCCTGGTCTATGAGCAGCATGTCTGTTGAACAAGAGCACAGGTATTCTCAGAAAAGTGAGGGAAGGGCAGGTACAGTGTGGAACAGAGTCTAGAAAACTTGTCCTTAGGAGTAAATAGGTAGTGTACTTGGTTGGATCTTTTGTATGGATGCGGACCAGGAAGATGGAGCCTTGTCCTTCCATCTTGGAATTTTAGCTGGGAGAAGAAATATACCCTGGGTCTCTTCCCTACCTCTGCCTCTCTCTTCCTGACCTTTTCCTCTGCTCTTCTCCAGAAAAGATAGACATGGTGCCTATTGATCTTCATAGTGTGCTCTTGGGGCTCCATGGGGGGAAGCTGTTCCTGTCTTGTGTCAAGTCTGGCAATGACATCAAGCTTCAGTTGGAGGTAAGGATTTGCTTTAGGTATAAAAACACTCTAAAACCCAGTGGCTTAAGACAATCAGAGGCTGTTCTGATTCTGTGGGTATACTGGGATGGAGGGCCCACTCCATTCCACACAGAGGAACATGCTAGGGTCTCTTCTACAGCTGTTTCCACAATGTGCTTGGATGGTGCTGGGTGTCGAGGTAGTTTTTATCCTCCAGTCCCTCCTTCACTGGTCTCTCAGCATCCAGTAATTACCCTGAGCTTCTCTGCAGGATGGTGGCTTTTTTTCATGAGATACTACTACAGAAAGACAGGCCTTAATGTGAAAGCACTTACTAAAGTTGTACTTGGATGAACCTATTGACCAAAGCCTTTGACATAGTTAATTTGGACACAGTGTAGAAAGGTGCTGCACAAAGATTTAAACTCTGGAAGGAGACATTGTTCCCAGAAGTCTACTTCTGTGACACCATCACAGGACCTGAACTACCATGGGTCACAGTTTTGCTCTAGGACTTCTAACCCACTTGGACCTACCCTCTTAAGCAAGGCCAACTCCCAGGACTTTACTTTTCTGATCCTCATCTGTGTTACTAGTTGGTGTCCCATCCAGATCCGTGTCACTCCTTTACATATTCAACAGTAATGGGCTGTTCAGTCCCAGGAAAAGGCCTTTTCTCAGGGGGGCACATGTGGGAGAGGGAGCTGATTGCCTTTTCTGAGAAAATAAAGATGGCTAGAGTATTGCATGTGGCACATCCTATGAGCCTTGAGGCTCTCTGCCACTTCTCTACCACCCCCTCTCCTTGGAAGAATCAGACCCTGACAGATTACTGACCTCCATGGCTTTAGCCTCTGCTGATGGGGCCTTGTATTTGCAAGGCCTACTGTGGCCGGATTTTCAGGGCAAGGGTGACCGTTAGTATCAGTACTATAACTGTGGTCTCTGGCCAGGTGTCCAGACCACCAGTTCTCAGAGGGCCAAAACCTGGTGAGAAGTGTTGCAGTATTGCAGTGTATCACAACACCCCCTCACACCTGACCATCTCTTATCTCTTGCTCTTCAGGAAATTAGCATCACTGACCTGAGCAGGAACAAGGAGCAGGAGAAGCGCTTCACCTTCATCCGCTCAGAGAAAGGCCCCACCACCAGCTTTGAGTCGGCTGCCTGCCCTGGCTGGTTTCTGTGCACAGCATTAGAGGCTGACCAGCCTGTTGGCCTCACCAACACTCCTGAAGAGTCCATCAAAATCACAAAGTTTTACTTCCAGGAGGACCAGTAGTACTTCCCAGACCTATTCTTTCCCACTCCGAGGCCATCAGTGACTCCAGGGGCTGCCTCCTCATCTTGGCCATTGTTGAGGTCTGAAGAACAGGGAGGACAGTGTTGGGAAGCAGAAGAGCCCTGGTGACCTCCACACTGCCTCCAGAATGATCTTTCAAGTTGGGTCATGACAATTTGCTCAAAGCCCTTTCCTGTTGCTTCTGCACTTTGGGTCAAGTCTAGAACTCTTGGTGGCCTAGACGTCCTCTGCTCCACTTGCTTTCCTTGTCCTCAACTGTCCTGTACATCCATGACTCAGATCTGTTGGGTCATCTGCCAGCCCCTTTCAAATGGCTCCCTCACCCTCTTTTACCAACCTGTGGTGATCCATAGGGAAGTGTTTTGGTTCTTATTCTTGGTCGTTGTTTGTTTTTGCTGCTTGGGATTCAATCAGGGCCTCATGCATGCTAAGTATGTGCTTTGTCACCAAGCTACACCTGCAACTCAGGGGGAAGTTTTTAAGGACCTCATGATTATTTTTATTAAGCCAGCCTGATTCAGTGGGAAGACAAGTTCTTCACGTGGAAATTATGTCTTATTTTCTTTTCTTTTGGTTTTTTTGTTTGTTTGGATACAGGGTTCCTGACCAGCCTGGGATTTGCTACGTAGACCAGACTGGCCTCGATCTCACCGAGATTTGCCTGCCTCTGCCTCCTGAGTGCTGGAACTAAAGGTGTGCGCTACCACACCTGGCAGAGTTTGACTTTTCTGAGAGGGACTGGAATGAGATGGGATTGCATTTGTAAAGTGATAGTGAGCATGGGAAAGTAGGTAGTGATTTTCCCCTTCTTTTTCAATGCCCCCCAAATTGTAAAACTTAAGTTAGTGGACTGTTTGTCTCTATCATCTTTTTTCCTTTCCAGAACTTTCCCAGGCTTTCCCTGCTCTGTCTGGCCCAAGTACCACAGTGTCCACGCCAGACCTCTCACAGCTGCCTGCAGAAGTTTCCCACTCTGCACTATGCAAATGTGGCCCCCAAGCCCTTTCAGATATGGTGAGGGATGGATCCACAAATTACTTCTTGACTGTTTTATCACTTCCAACCCTGAAACTTGTGTGGAAGTAGCTGTGTCTCTGTCTCCTCCGCTAGACTGTGAGTTCCGAAGAACAAGGAGTGTTACTTGTGTGTGTTTTGGGTCGCTGCAAGGCTGATCACCCGCATTGGCCCTTAGCAGGAACTAAATGTGTGTTGTATGTGCTGGGTGGAAACTTTCTTACTCCCCCCTGTGACTTTAGCTCTATTTTACAATAAAACATTGAAAATGTCTGCATTGTTGGCTATGACCACGCCTTCAGCCTTCCGGGCATAGGTAACTGGGGAAATGGGGAGGCCACTAGGTTTTTCTCACACGACAGTTAGGGCACAGATGTCGCCTCTCTGGGAGTCTTCCTCCTCATTGCTTCTCACTTCCTGGGTAACAGGAGAGCAAATATCCCTGCCTATAAAATGTGGAGTAACATTATCCACAATGAACCCATCAAATGGAAACAAGCCAAATACCCATCATTGAAGAATAAACATGCAAGTCATGGATCTGCACCCAACTCAGCATTCCACAATGACAAAGACAATGACTAAATCACAGCCAGCTTCACCCAATGCAATGGATAACTCTTACAAAATGTGGGATTCAGATGTTTCCATTTCAAACAGCAGTTGACAGGTTAATAACAAGGAGGTAAAACAAACACTGAAATGAATCCTGGAATCCCATAATCAAGTTCCAGTGTCCTATTTGGTATGTGTGCTCAGGATGAGCTAGCTAAAATCTCAGGGACTCAGTTGTCCCATCTCTACATGCAAATAAAGCTAAGGTAAAAAGTTGCGTTACTGCCCTTAATCTCTATGAGAGCCCTCTCTGATGAGTTGGTTACTGTTATCAATGCTGCAGGAGTCAGTACACAAGGACTCGGCTTCAAAACATTGTTGTTCCAAGTGTGGGCCATAGATTGGCAGCAACATCACTGGGGAATAAAATGGAGGCTCCCCGGCTTCACACCAGACTTACTGGTTTAAGAGCTCACCTTAACCAGGTCTCCAGGTGAGCCACACAGGCTAAAGTTCGAGAAGCATAATTTTCCAATGCAGCTTTCATACAGTGTGGAAGCTCTAGCACACTTATCAAAATGATTAGCATAATTAGAAGCAGAGCCTGTCCTTTCTCTCCATCTCACTAGCCCTTTGGCCATGCCAGTGCCTCCTCCTTTTCTCTGCTTACTTTGATTTCATGTGTTCTGTAAAATATTCCAAAAGGAAAGCTTAGACCACCACAATTCTGCCATAGTGTCATCCCAACACATCTCGACGTTTCTATTTTCTTCTGTGTCTCCTAAGCACCATCATTAGTGCCTGGAAGAGAGTAACTACTCGGTGGTTGCTTGGCACATTGATGGACAGGCCACTCACACAGTAGGAATTTATGGATTTGAGTGGACTGAGGTTTTAGACCAGGGAAATTTGGAAGAAACTCAAAAGCAAGAAAAGGGCTGTGGAGGCACCCAGGCTTCAAGGAATTTGGGGGTTGAGTAGAGAAAAGATATGACCACCAGGTGGCAGTTGCACACACAAACTTTATTGGACTAAGCTCTTTCGGGTTTGGGGAAGGTCCCTCAGCGCAGGGCAAGGTGGTAGAGGTGGGAGGTCTCACACAGAAGGAGCAGAGGGTAAAAGAATCCCCAGGGGAGATGGGAGTTGATGAGGAGGTTTCCGTGCCTACAGAATACCTCAGGGGCACAGTAAGTGATCTCTGATCCAGAGAACTTGAAAGGAAACTTTTGTTGTTGTTGTTTGGGGCTTACCCCTTGCCTTGGAGTTATTCATAGAATGTGTACATTGGGTATACTTTCATTGGAGATGTAAATAAGACAGGCTGTCAGTGGGCAAATATCTGCTTATTTAGGCTATATAACAACAGGGTGTGAGATCATTTGAGTTTGGTGTTGAGTAGGGTTCAGAGCTCTTGGCTTGAAGGGAAGAAACCAAGAATGTAGGTGCCACAAAGGCCATCTTTGACTCATTTGTAGGACACAAAGAATGGGCCATGGTGAGGAAAAGCAGACCTTGGTAGTGTGTTCAAGGGACGCTTTTGCACAATTTGGAGGCAGTGAAGGAGTAAGACTGGGAGTCAGGAGGCTTTCAGGTGAGAGAGAAAAGAACAGGAAAAGGACCTAGACACACACCTAAGAGGGACTTTGTCTTTTTTTCTCGCCTCTAGACCTGACCAACTATAACACCACAGAATTACAGAAAACGTAGTTCAAAAATCTAAACCCGAGTCAGGCATAGTGGTGCATACTTACAATCTCAGCCCTCAGGAGGAGGATCATGAGTTAAAGGCTAAACTTGTTGCATAGAGAAAATCCAAGTGAATTTGAAGCTTTCTGGCTTTCACAGTCTAGTCAGTGTTCCTACTAAGGACAGGAGTGGCCTTGTTTAAACAACCTTGGCTCCTGGGCCTTGATTCCCTCACTCATGAGACAGGATTAGATTCTATCAGTGTTATCAGACTCACCTTTACAATTTCTTATCAAAGGATGTAATGCCTGACCACTCACTCCCCACAAAAATTTTGACTTAGTTGGTCTAGGGGTGGCTGGGGGTGAGACAAGGACATTAGTATGCCAGGACTAACACCCCAGGGAGCCCCAAGATTAAGTCTTCCCAGCTGCTCCTGCCTGGCAGCATCTGTTGACACAAAGGCTGGGCTGGCCTATCACTGCCGGAAGGTCTCCTCACTAATTCAATTCTACCCTAGGCTCATTTGGGCTGAAGGTCAGAGATAAGTACTTGGCTAGTACGTGTGAGGTCCTGGGGTCCATCCCCAGTACTGGAGTGTGGGAGTGGGGACATGGCTGATTCTTTACTGGACATGTGGTACACACCTGTAATCCCAGCACTTGGGAAACTGAGGCAGGAAGATTGTGAGTTGGAGCTTGTCTGGATACACAGTGAGACTGTCTCCAAAATTCTGGATACACAGTGAGACTGTCTCCAAAAAAAAAAAAAGAGTGTTACCAGACTTAGGGATCCTTGCCTGTGTACTATAAGACAGGTTTGGTTACCTGTCCTCAATAAGCCAATTAAAGAAGTCAAATTAATAATGAAAAAATAGAAAAATACTTATTCGATGTGGCCATATTGGAAAGAGGGACAAAGGGATCCAGTGACTCCCCAAAACAGTGAGACTGTCTCCAAAAAAAAAAAAAGAGTGTTACCAGACTTAGGGATCCTTGCCTGTGTACTATAAGACAGGTTTGGTTACCTGTCCTCAATAAGCCAATTAAAGAAGTCAAATTAATAATGAAAAAATAGAAAAATACTTATTCGATGTGGCCATATTGGAAAGAGGGACAAAGGGATCCAGTGACTCCCCAAAATCTGTCTTTGGGGGCTCTGACATCCCCAAGTCCATCTTCAGGGGCCCTGACATGAGGGTAAGGTTTAAATAGAAAGTGAGAGATATGGATAATAATAAAACAGTCAGCAAAGCTGTGGTCTTTGGCCCACCAGGGTCTGCTCCAAGTCTCTCCTGCAAGATCATCTGACAAATTATAACTCTTTCTCTAGGAGTCAAGCTTCTTTTCTGGATGCCCCCACCTAGGAAAGGGCTTCAGCCATTTCTTCTCCTAGAAGGAGATTCCCGGGGAAATTCTATTGTCTTGGGACCAATTCTTTCAATAGTCTGCGAGCCAATGGGGGAGCATAGTGTCTCTTTAAAACACACCTATTTCTGCCAGATAGGTTACAATAGGCTTGTCACTCGTCTACTTTCTCAGTCATAAGGTTGGCTAAGACACTTGGAGTTTAACTCTTTTTTTTTTTTTTTGGCATATGACGTAAAGTGTGTCATAATAGTAGATGCTAACTGCAGATTTTTGCAAATCTTGGGAAGACCAAATAATTTTGTTTTTCAGTAACTATGGTATCCCTAAGCAAAGCTCAACATGTTTGATATTAAAACCAGATATCTCAGAAAAGCATGGGAAGCTTGTGAAAGAGACTTGGGGATTCAAACCTGACAAAGTTGAATAGAGGGATCAGAGGCTTTGGGATTGTGCCTAAGACCTCCGGCTGCTTCAAGCACATGGGGTCAAGTAAAGTTCATCAAGTGTCCACCAGAGGGCAGACTTCCATATGTGCCCGACATTCTGCTCTGGAAGGAACTGTGGGAAGACAAATACTGTGATTATCTCCCTTCACCCTCATTCTGGCGAAGGTCTGGTCTTTCAGACTCCGTAAGGAAAGCCTGGTTTTTACACTCCACGTTTATCCTCATTCACCAATCAAGCCAATTAATTACTTACCTGATAAAAACACATGTGAGGCACAGTCCCTGAGAAGCATCCAATAAATGCCTGTTCTCCGAAGCCGGAGACCCAAGAAACCCCAACGAGCTTCTGGCTCTGCTTTCAAGTCCAGCCCCTGTGATGCTGTTTCTTGCTGAGGACTGCTTACCTGACGGTGGACTCAGGTGTGGAGTTCATCTTCCCTTCCTCCCTCCTCTGCCCCCGGGAACGCACACTCACCATGTCAGAACTCAATGTTGAGGGTCATCCACACCAGCTCCCAGTAGCCCACTGTCTTCCAACTCTGTGGGCACCTGTAGCTCACTCAGTCCTTCATATATACGACATTGCTGACATCTTTCCAGGCATGCTTGTTTTCACTTTTACCTGAGTACTTTAAGAGAGACTAAGTAAGCACTCGATCTTTTGCAGCCTCTGGAGCAGTCAGTCACTTATCTGAAAAGGACGAAAATGCCTTGCTTACATATTCTGAAGTACAACTGCCCATTCCCCCGCTTTTTGGCATATCCCACCCAGAGATCCCCCTGGATTCCTCTTGTATCGGGCCCTGCACCCCTTGTCACGGAGGTCCTTTTGGCTCACGTGATCTCAAATAGCATTCCACTTCTGAGAGCTTCCTGTACTCCTCTGACTGTCTCTTCTGTACTTTTTTTTTCTATTACTTTTTAACAAGCTGTATATTAGTTTGCTTATTTAAGCCATTTTCTTACTACATTTGTGTGTATGTGTGTGTATGTGTTAAAAATAAAATCTGAGGTCCAAGTACCCCATACTGCACAAAACACATGAGGACAAAGCCAAAGTAGCCGTGGCGAGGCAGCTTTTCCTTTTGCAGAAGGGTGCATCGTACCATTTTGATTAAGCAAGCACAGTGGAACTGGAAGCTGAATTGGATTTTATCCTAACTCAAGAGTATTTTGTCTTTTCCCCACTGGCCGGAATCTGACCTCACAGTCTTTC